TTAACCCTGAATAACCTACCGTTTTAGCGTTCTTTATTATGAGTTCCTTATATGAGGTAGGTCCTTCAGGGTTAAGGTAAGGTCTAGGGTTTAGGGTTTAAGGGTTTCTATATGGTGTTCTGCACGTGATGTGAATTTAAACTTTTAGCGCTTAGAGCTCCATAAAGAAGCTCTAAGGCAATTGCGGAAGATGATATAAATCCTGCACTACCCATAACAAGGAATATACCATAATTCCCATACGGTCATCAAAGTGTTGCCGGATTTAGATCATCAACCTTGAACCCTAAATTGAGCTGTCCTTCAAGCCCTTCGAAGATTATTTACTGGTCTGTTTCTCTACAAAATAGTAGGGGAAACTAAAAAGATGCCAAAGGACAACCCAGTAAATGTACCGATCCTTTTGGCAACCATGAGGTTCCGGTTGATGGTTTTAAGCCCTACCTTAGCTTAAGCACCCTAAACTATGGGAACTATGGTATATTCCTTATTATGGGTAATGCATGTATTCTATCATCAACCGTTCCTGCCTGGATAGTCTCCACTCATCTCTGCAAAACTTGGTAGCCGCCACTGCGTCTCGCTGACAGGTGGCGCCTCTCGCAGCGCTTCGGGGTCTATGAAATATAAACCATGGGGTTCCTTTGAAGGGATCTTTAAGGAAACCTTTAAGGGGCTCCTTCAAGGGATCTATAGGGTTTTAGGGTTTAGGGCTTATGATCGGGAATGGGTAATGCAGGATTGATATTATCAGCCGTGTGACCCGAAAGAGAGGCAGAAAAGGGACTCTGGGTTCCTGAGTAGCCCCTTGAAAAGAAGGGCTATATAGGGTGCTTAAATTACTAGTACTATTTGGGGCGGGTGCTTAAATTACTAGTACTATTTGGGGTGCTTCTTATCATATACTGGGCCCCGAAACCATATCATAATTATGAAGGCCGCTATGTTACCCTTTATCATACCATTAGGGGTATTTAAATGGGATCCTGAAACCCAAAAGTAAGAAGACTCAGGAACCTAGAAAGGCTAGGCCCGAACAGCCCAAGACCCTTCCTTAAAGTACCCCCTTATCGTATAGCCCTTTAAAGGAACCCTTATAGTACCTTTGTAGTAGCCCTTTGAAGGAACTTTAAGGTACCCCGCTGACTGCTGGCCTGTCCGAAGCGGGGCTCTGGCACTCTCCAGGCAGGCCTCAGTTCCCGACAGGCTCCAGATACAGTGCCATTATGGAATTAAGTCCCTAAAACCCTGATAAGGACAGTCTGTTGGGGCCTACCTGCATGATGGTACTATATATGGAGCCTCTGGGTTTTCCATGTTTTCAATATGGCAGTTTCCGAAAATTAGGGGTACCTTATTTGGGGGTCCTGATAAGAAGGATCCTACTATTTACCGGGCCGAGGTCGGAGTCGCGGAAGTCTTCGGAGCTGCGGCTGCTTTGCTGAATGACGGAGCTGGGAGTGCTGGAGCTGGGGCGGCTGCTTTGCCGACTCCAGGCGTCGGAGTCGAAGTCGTCGAGTCTGGGGCTGCTTTGCCCACTCCAGGCGTCGGAGTCCCCGAAGTCATCTTTTCTGGGGCTGCTTTCTCTATGCCGGCCATGCTAGGCTTAAGTTAAAAGATGTCGGACTGCAGCCGTAGTCCCAGCGAGTGACAAGGGGCCCCAAAGATAATATGAAGCAGCTATATGGCAGCAGCATGAAGGAAGTGTCCTTGAACACATGGCACAAAACTAAGCAAGTGAGCGTGGACGGAGCCAGAGATGGCAGGTTGGCCTCTCCATCCAGAGGGTTTAGGGCCGGATCCCCACGGGCCTAAAACCCAAGGAAATAAAAGTTGAAACTTTCACAATCGACTACCTTATAAGACCCCAAACAGTTGAATAGTTGAGTTTACAGCCAACGAGTTCTCAGTTTTCAATATGGGCGCTGGAGAAGTTCAAGCTTTCTCCGTACGGCAAGCAAGTGGAAACTTCTACCATTCGCTGTCTTTGACTTCAAGGACATATAATCTAGGGTAGAAGCCATCTGCCCCTAGTATCAGCCCTTCGCCACGGGCCCTTGGCCCGAGGATCCTTAAATGCGAAATATCAACCTTATATGTACCGTTAAGGGCCCCTAGAGTCTTAAAGCTTAGACATCGCGTTGGGCTATCCCAACACTGGCAGCTGAGTCAAACTCAGCCCCTTGTTCGCCCTGTTGAGTTTGCGGTTTAGGGTTTAGAGTTTAGGGTTTGTGGGCTCAGCGTTTAGGGCTGCACTCTTGAGTTTGGGGCTTAGGGGCTGCTACCTTGAGCTACCACAACCTATTTTGCCGTAGATGCTCTAGACCAAAGAGTAACCCAGGCATAAAAAGGATGCCCTTTTTGGTTTAAAGGGGCTTAAAAGGGAACCTGAGCCCTAAAAAAGGGAATAAGGGCCTACTCTGGGTCCTAGTGCTTATTGTAAACACGAACATAGAATTCATGTTGACTCTGTTGGAGGCAAGAGGTTTGCAAGGTTTCGGGTGGTGCGTCTGGGTCATGCGAAACCCTCTCTGGGACCCCTCATAGGTTCACACCAACTCTTTGAAACCTCTCAGTAAAAGATCGAGTGTCTTGTGCTCTTAATTGTGCGCAGGACAGAAGGCTGTCTCGCTTCATGTTACTTACTTTTAAGGCGTTGGGGTTCTGATGGGCCGAAAGTACCCTAGGTTCGTGAGTAGCCCTGCCAGAGTAAGGGTACCCTTTTCACGACTACTCAGGTTGAATAAGGGGACCCTCAAACAAAAAGGGCACAAAGGTGCTACTCAGAAACCTAGACAACTAGGACCCAGAGTAGGCCCTTATTCCCTTTTTTAGGGTTCAGGTTCCCTTTTAAGCCCCTTTAAACCAAAAAGGGCATCCTTTTTATGCCTGGGTTACTCTTTGGTCTAGACAATTATAGAGCCCCGATCACCCATCACAGCCTAGTTGAGCCTTTATCCATGAAGCCCCAAGCCTCCTCGTAAGGCACTACCTATAGGGGCGTCAGTAGCAAGACCCTATAAACCCTAAACCCTAAACCCCTAAACCCCTAAACCCTAAACCCCTAAACCCTAAACCCCAAACCCTAAACCCTAAAATAGAGGCTTTGAGACGTGATTATGTAGAACCATTCAGTGGCCTTGTAAAGAAACTCTAAACCCTAAGACCCTATACTACTATTTGCTTAAGAACCCACCAAAAAATAAAAAAATAATAATCCCTATAATATTATCCTTATAAGGAATATATTTGGGGGTTCTTAAGCAAGTAGTAGTATACCCTAGGACCCTAGACCCTTAACCAAGAGACCCCAAACCCTAAGCCGAAGAGCAGAATAACTCTAAACTCTACACCCTACGATCCCTAACCCTATTACCCTAAACCCTGAACCATATAACCCTAAGGCCCTAAGACCCTCAACCCTAAGCCGAAGAGCAGAATAAGTCTAAGTTGAGGCTACGGGGTTTCCAACTCTTGGGCTTCTACTGTAAACCCTAGGCCGAAGAGATGTGAATCCTGCATTACCCATAATAAGGAATACACTTCCCATAGTTCAGGGTCCTTCAGGTAATGCAGGATTTAGATCATCAACCGTAAGACCCTCACCCCTAAGCCGAAGAGCAGAACAACTCTAAACACTACACCCTACGGTCCTTAACCCTATTACCCTAAACCCTGAACCATAAAACCCTAAGGCCCTAAGACCCTCAACCCTAAGCCGAAGAGCAGAACATCGATCGATTCCCGCTCTCGCGACTTCCACTCGGTTCCGAGGTCTCCGTCCGTCACCTCGCGCTCTTGGCGGCTTTCGTGAAGGAGTTTAGGGCTCAGGGTTTCTTCAAAAGGGATCTATAAGGGTTCCTTTACAGGGATCTGCAAGGGTTTTGGGTTGAGGGGTTTAGGGGTTTAGGGGGTTAAGGTTTGGGGTGTAGCGGTTTAGGAGTTTAGGGGTTTAGTGTTTAGGATGTCGGGTTGGGACCTTATGAGTGAGGTAGGGGCCGCCAGGAATTCCAAGAGGGTTTACGGGACTACATCAATACTCTCGATTGCAGGGCTATGTTGAAAATATTGAGATAAGTTTTAAGGGTTGAGGGGCTGCTGGTCTTTAGGGTTTGGGGATACCGTATGGGTTATATTTAGGTTTCGGTTTTGCGGGTGTAGGTTGAGGGCTCTCGTAATGGTTCGACATTTAGTGCTAGTATAGCCGTTCTGTAGGGCTGTCGGGGCTTTGGGGCTTAGGGTTCAGATTTGACTTTTCGTTTGACGTTTAGGGTTTTGGTTTGGCGTTCAGTTCCTACGCGGTTGAGGGCTTGGGGTGTCAGAGCTTGCGGCTAGCGTTTCGGGGGAGCATCGCTTTGCACTAATACATATATATATATATATATAGACACACACACACACATACGTATGGATATAGCGAAGCGGCTATTTGAGGGTCCTGTGGGCTGTTAGGGGTGTGTACGTGCATTATATGTATGTGTATATATATATATATGTATATATGTATATTATACATATTGTGTACATGTATATACATACATACACGCACAAAACCCTAGCCGCCACTGGACCCTAAAATGGTCGCTTCGTCATATCGGGTTCAAGACCTGGAGCATCAGGGGCAGGCCTTCTTGGTTGAGAGTGTCAAAAAAATCATCGGAGAATGACGGAAATTGACTTTAATGTACTTGGTGCTTCTTCAGCCATGCATACCCCGTCGGACATTTTCTGGAACCCTCGACCACTAATTCCGTAAATGCACCCGTCCAACGGAGCTACTGCCTGCTGATGCCGTGTTTCATGTCTTTTTCGGACAGCGACGATTTCCGAGACGCTGGGTGGTCGAAGGCTTTCAACCAAACGTGGGTCGGTTGGAGTGACGAGGCTAGGATCAAGACTGCGACAAGCCGGGCTTCGCGGAGTTTTCACTTGTCGGCAGGACGAGAAGCCCTACAGCACATACCCAGGTCGACGATGGTCTCCTACCGCACATCTCCCTGTCAGTCGGTATTCAATCCAAAGCAGACCAGCTGACCATCTGATAGGACTGCGCACGTGTGAGCGTAACCTGCTGAGATTGCCACAACCTCTGCCAAATCCGTTGGCACATCACACTGCCCGTCGGCGTTCATTCCAAAGCAAACCAACTGACCATTGGTTTTGACTGCGCACGTGTGCAGATAACCTGCTGAGACTGCCACAACTTCTCCTAAATCCGACGGCACATCGCACTGTCCGTACGTGTTCCAGCCAAAGCAGACCAACTGATCATCTGATCTTACTACGCAAGTGTGCCTACCGCCTGCTGAGATTGCCTTCACTGCTCCTAAATCCGTGGGGGCATCGCATTGTCCCTGTGAGTTCCATCCAAAGCAGACCAGCCGACCATCTGATCTCAGTGCACAAGTATGATCATAGCTAGCCGAAACTTCCACAACTGATCCCAAATCCGTCGGCACATTGCATTCTCCCAGCATGTTCGATCCAAAGCAAACCAACTGACCGTCGGATTTCACTGCACAGGTGCGACCATGGCCTGCTGAAACTGCTGCAACTGCTCCCAAACCGGTCGGCACATCGCATTGTCTGTTGGTATTGTCTCCGAAGCAGACCAGCTGACCATCGGATTTCACTGCACAGGTGTGATCGTAGCCTGCTGAGACTGCCACAACCCTTCCCAAGTCAGGTGGCACATCACATTGCCCCTTGTCGTCACGCATACTGCATCCAAAACAAACCAGCTGACCATCTGACTTCACCTCACAGGTGTGAACATTGCCTGCTGAGACTGCCGCAAATGCCCCCAACTCCCGTTGCCTATCGGCGCCCAATCCATAGCAGACCCACCGATCTGATCTCATTGCACCTATGCACTCATTGCCGAGAGAAGCCTCAGATTTGTAGCCATCCACCATCATTCCTTTTCGGTAAGATACCAGCCTGACATGTCCACGGGGCCTAGTTGGATCAACCGAGTACCGAGATCGGAAGCAAAATGACGTAAACCAGCACGCTCCGATCCAGGATGTCCATGAGAGTACGGCGACTCCCAGAGCCACTCTGGAAGCACACATTGCTCTAGCACGAAAAGATTGGCTCTGAATTAAAGTGTCTTTTCGTGTGAAGCTGCTCGCACATCACCCCAGGCGGTTTCATGACCGATGCCATTTGACTCAAACCTTTCTCGTACCTCGAGACGTAACAGTAATGTCTGGAAGACGTCAGGCAGATTCAACTCAAAATCCTAGACCCTGAACCCTAAACGCATCATCCTAAACCCCAGCCCTGCATCCGAATCCTGAAGCATTCGAGTTCTCATGTGATGGGTCTTTCATGTTGCTGTTGATCTCTCGTCGTGTCGAAATGCAAATCCGCCGATTCGCCTGTGCAGGCCTAGGTAGGGTAGAGATTTGGGGTTTCGATATAGTTTAGGGTTTAGGGTTCGCGGGAATGCTATAGGATAAGGTTGCCAAGACTCCAACATCCCGAAAGTAATGGCTCAGCATTGCAATTTCCGACGATAAAGTGAATCTGAAGAACCTTTCCTCTTCGGTGCCCAGAACCAACATGAAAACACGCCCTAAGAACCAGAACGCAAACAACTTCTAAGAACATGAACTCAAAGTCCTTGGAGTTTTTTTATAAAAGATGTCCTAAGAGCACTCATGCCCTGGTCTAAGGGTGTCTGAACTTTCTTACCCTACGGGTCCAAGTACCCCGAGTAATAGGTGCCTCTGGGTTTTTTAGACCGAGAGTATAGCAGGGTATCCATATCCTTTCACCCCTGCTCCAAACTTAGTGAGGAAAGCCATTTAGGAACCCCTTGCCCCCTTCCAAAACCAATATAGACCCCTTACAGAACCCTTTTACCGAAACCTTTACGAAGTTCTTATAAACCTCTTGTCAACTACGGAATGAACCGTAAACCGCCTAATACAGAGGCCTAAATAATCAGAATAAGGTTTTGGGGCCCATTATGCTAATATCCCCCCAAATCGTATAGGTAAGGGTTAAGGCCCCTATATATCATAGTACCCTACTATAAATCCCTTATAGATCCCTTTAAGGGACCCTTTTAAAGGAACCCTACTCTAACTATAAAGGCCCCCTATATTTCCTCAACTCTGGATCCCTGAATCCTTGAAGCTCTGGAAACCCTGTAACAAAACCCACTAATGCCTAGGGGTCCATGTGCCCAAACAGGGACCCTTTCGGGGTTCCTTTCAAGGTTCCTAGATGGGTTTACTATAAGGGTTCTATAGGGTTTGGGGTTTAAGGGTCCATGTATCCAACTAGTATATACTTTGGGCCCAATGTAACTATTTTGGGAGTACTTTGAGGTCAAAGTATAAACTATTTGAGTACATAGACCCTTTGTATTATATATCGTGGAGGAACCTCTTTGCGAGCCCAATCCCTAAACCCTACACCCTTTATAAAGCCCTTGGAAATCCGAACCTTGCCGAAGTCGGCATCGTAGGTGTCTGATGAGCCAAACGG